AACGAGTGGATTGAGTGATGTTTGTATTGTAATTGATATGATTTGCAACACTGAGTGCCGCGACTTTCACTATAATATTCACCCGAAATGTGATATTTATTTCAATCTTAAGTTATAATCGGTTTCGTAATATTTTCTGTGCGAAACAATCCTATGATATAACAGATTATGTCTAATGTAGTCATTCATAATCTACTGTATACTACATAATATGAAACTACTAAAATTTTACTGAAACTAAATTGAAGCATTTTTACTCAAGGTATAATGAACTCGGTTAAACTCGGTAAAATATATTACTTATAAATCATTGTCACAATTATTTGACTTTTAATTACACAATAGTATCGATGTTTTAGAAGACATTTCTGTGAACTATACGTTGAAATTATCATCAATTCTTACTTCAATACTTACCATAAGCTATGAGTGAACTAAAAATATATGGGCTTTGTGTAAGTTGTGTAAACTTACAAAAGTAAACGCTGACCTAGACTTGTCATAGACCAGCCATACCAGAACCTAATGTCTAAGAAAAACCACCTTTGCCAATAATTAGACCGAGAATTCTTCAAATATCAATGAATCAATTAATTTCATGTATTTTTATAAATCTAATAGATATAAAGTATATCTCATTAATTTTGTCGTTTGTTATATAATTAGATCGAGAGAGAGAGAGAGAGAGAGAGAGAGATTCTTAAGCACTCTTACACACACTTACTTTACTCACTATTACATTGTTTAAAACTGTAATATATATCAAATATCATGGATTGTATGCTACGATAAAATTGTCTTATTTATAAGTGGAAGAAGGCAAACTGCAAATTTTTCTCATAATTGTCTATTAATGTCGAAATCGGCTACTAATTAAATGTAGTGATATTTATTGATTAAATCATCAATTATAAAAAGTAATTAGCAATACAAATAATTAATAAATGAGTACAATTTTATCAAGTAATTAATAGCAACATTATTTATAACCAGTATTTATAAATTTAAAATTCAACCCTTTATTTATCTGATATTTTGGTTTAGAAATGTGTAAAATAATATTCAATTAAATGACATTTTAAATATTTGCAATAATTACATAATTTTAATTACATATTACATTAATTGGTTGAAATGAATCATTTATCAGTTTAATGATTTGTAATTATATAACTAATATTTAGCCTCTAAATGAGATGAGATAATCAGTTGTATATATTGACTGATAATAAACATACAAAATATACTTTAAATATACAAAAATTAACGCTAAATAATGAGGGTTTTTGTGTCATGTAGTCTTAGCCACAACTATATGACACTCTTTGCTATCAGTATTACATTTTTAATTTAAGTCTGGTTTAAGTACTTTTGATACTAGAGTTTTATTTACATATACTTTAGTTGAGAAGTGCAGTAAAATACTAACACGTTAGAAATTTATTACAAATATTATTGTTGTTATTATTTCTAAAATATATTTTATATTTAGAGAGATTAGCTTAAATTAGTATAAAATTTAAATTAAATACTCAATTCCAATCAAATAATTTTATTAATAATTAACAATACTTTTAAATTAGTTTTGAAAATATTTATGTCAATACCTTAATTTGCAATATATTTCTAATCAAATTAAACTATTATTTAATAATGAGTTTAAGAAATATATCTGAAGAGGAATTAAAATTAATTTCCGATCAATTGAGCGGCGAATTAACGCCCATTGGCTTTGAATGCTATCCATTTAAAGTATAAACACATTTGTTTTACACATTTTAGATCATGATGTTTATTATGAAACTTAAAAAACAATTAAAATGCATTTCATCACAGATTGAATGGTACAACCGTATGGTTTCGGCCGACTTTCATCTGCCATTTGACGGCAATTGTCTGGCGTTTACTATAATAAGTACTCCCGATATGTTTGAAAACGCATTCATACCATACATACGGATGCGAAACACAGCCGATATGTTGGACCCCATCAACCACTGTATGAAACACTACTTAAACAAACTGTGCATGGTAATTTAAAACTCACATCGCCCATTTGCCCACATGTATTAATCGCTAATCTATTTAAATGTCAATTAATTGACAACCAAAACAAAACACAACGCTAAGACATTATCAAGACATTCGTCTTCAGTGGAAGTGATACACGATTTTGATCTCCAAATGCCTAACAGACGGCCCAAAGTGTTGGCCCAAACGGCGGCTCATGTGTCCGGCGCTGCTTTCTATTACAAGCCTGACGTTATCAGCGCTGATAGGGCTGATGGCAGGGCTGGTGGGGAGCGCTCATTAGCACCACTATCACCATCAACACAGCCATCACCTTCACTCTCATCAAAGTTATCGCACTCGCCATCGGGTCGACGACTGTTGGGTTATTGCATTCATCCGGAGTTTGGCGGTTGGTTTGCCATCAGAGCTGTGCTTGTGTTGGCAGACCTGACCGCCGATTGGATGATCCAACGCTCGGCCAAAGATGTGTTGCCGAGTGTTAAACAGAGGATTGAGTTGTTGACGGCGTTCAACACCAATTGGCACGACTGGTCCGCCTATCGGGATGTCATAGCCGTCACCAAACGGTACAGCGATCTCCAGATACAGTACTTCCAGAGCAGTGCCACAGACCGTAGGGCTATCTTAAACACGTTTATTGATTGTCATAAATCAGATTAAGTCAATACCTGTTTTTGGATTAAATCAGATTAATTAATTATTAAATTTGCTTTTTAAATTTTTTAACATAAAGTATTCAATTTTTTGTTTAGTTTTTTAGTTTATTTATAAAAAATAAAAGTATAAACATTTTAATTAATAATTAAAACCTTTCGGGTATATATTTTTTATCACAAATATTAGTTAATTACTCCAGAATTAATTAATTGAGTAAACTTCTTGTAACCTCTAATATATTATATGATGACTTAATTCTCTCTCTCTCTCTCT